TAATAAAACCAAAAAGAAAAAACAGCATACTCTTTCAGGTGTTTTCTTTTAAGGTTGTTAAAAGGGTTGCCATCTGACTTGTGGATCTCCATCCATCCATCCATTATCTGCCGCTTGTCCAGGGTTCGGGTCGCGGGGGTAGCAGCTTCAGGAGATATACCCAGAACTCCCTCTCCCCAGCTACCTCTACCAGCTCCTCGGGGAGGACGCCGAGGCATTCCCAGGCCAGTCGAGAGATATAATCCCTCCAGCGAGTCCTGGGTCTGCCCCGGGGCCTCCTCCCTGTAGGACATGCACAGAAAACCTCTCCGGGTAGCCGCCCTGGAGGCCTCCGCACCAGGTGTCCAAACCACCTCAACAGGCTCCTTTTGACGCGAAGAAGCAGTGGTTCTACTCTGAGGCCCTCCTGGATATCCAAACTTCTCACCCTATCCCTAAGGGAGAGCCCAGACACCCTGCGGAGAAACCTCATTTCGGCAGCCTGTATTCGCGATCTCATTCTTTCGGTCATTACCCATAGCTCATGACCGTAGGTAAGGGTAGGGACGAAGATGAACCAATAGATCGAGCGCTTTGCTTTTCAGCTCAGTTCTTTCTTAGCCACGATGAACCGGTTAAGCGCCTGCAAAACTGTAGATGCCGCTCCGATTCGTCTATCCAGCTCCCGATCTCGCCTACCTTCATTCATGAACAAGACCCCGAGATACTTGAACTCCTCCACTTGAGGCAGTACGTCTTCCCTGACCTGAAGAGGGCAATCCACCTGTTTCCGGCTGAGAACCATGGTCTCGGACTTGGAGGTACTAATCCTCATCCCTGCCGCTTCGCACTTGGCTGTGAACCGCCCCAGAGACATCGTCTGCAAAAAGCAGCGAGTCAATCGTGTGGCCACCAAACTGGACACCCTCAACACCCTGGCTGCACCTAGAAATCCTGTCCATAAATATTATAAACAGGACCGATGACAAAGGGCAGCCCTGGCGGAGCCCAACCCGCACTGGGAACACATCCGACTTATTACCGGCAATGCGGACCAAGCTTTTGCTCAGTTCATACAGGGACCGAATCGCCCACAACAGTGGACCCCGGACCCCATACTCCCAAAGCTTCCCCCACAGAGCACCTTCGGGGAACCCGGTCGTAAGCCTTTTCCAAATCCACAAAACACATGTAGACTGGATAGGCAAACTCCCAGGCCTCCTCCAGTACCCTTGCAAGGGCATAAAGCTGGTCCAGTGTTCCACGGCCAGGACGAAAACCGCATTGTTCCTCCTGAATCCGAAATTCGACTATCGATCTCACCCTCCTCTCCAGTACCCCGGAATAGACTTTCCCAGGAAGGCTGAGAAGTGTGATCCCCCTGTAGTTGTAACACACCCCCCGGTCCCCCTTCTTAAATAAGGGGACCACCACCCCGGTCTGCCAATACAGCGGCACCGTCCCTGACCTCCACGCACTGTTGAGAAGGCATGTCAGCCACGACAGCCCCACAACATCCAGAGCTTTCAGGTACTCTGGGCGGATCTCGTCCACCCCCAGGGCCCAGCCACCATGTAGCTCTTTAACCACCCTGGCCCCAGTAATGGGCAAGCCCCCCCCAGCACCCTCGGGCTCGGTGCCCTCAGATGTCTCAAAGGCAGTGTGCGTAGATGTATCTGAGGCACGGTTGAGGAGGTCCTCAAAGTATTCCTTCCACCTCCGTGTGATGTCCCCAGGTGAGGTCAACAGCACCCCCTCCCCACTATAAATAGTAGGAACCAGGAGCTGCTTCCCCCTCCTGATATTCCAGATAGTTTGCCAGAACCTTTTTGAGGCCGACCGAAAGTCACTTTCCATGGCCTCACCAAACTCCTCCCACGCCCAGGTTTTTGCTTCTGCGACCGCCCGAGCCGCGTTCCGCCTGGCCTGCCGGTACCCATCAGCTGCCTCCGGAGACCCCCGGGCTAATAATTCCCAGTAAACCTCCTTCTTCAGCTAGACAGCCCCCCTCACCTCTGGTGTCCACCATCAGGTACGGAGGTTACCGCCACGACTGGCACCGACCACCCTGCAGCCACAGCTCCGTACAGCTGCTTCCACAATGGAGGTCCAGAACAGTATCCCCAACCTCCCCCGGTATGCAGTTGGAATTCTGCCGGGGTGCGAGGTAAAGCTCCGGGCGAACAGCAGCCTCTGCCAGACGTTCCCAGCAGACCCTCACTATGTGCTTGGGCCTACCAGGTCTGACCAGCTTCCTCCCCCGCCACCTGAGCCAACTCACCACCAGGTGGTGATCAGTTGACAGCTCTGCCCCTCTCTTTACCCGAGTGTCCAAGACGGAAGGCCACAGATCAGATGATATGATTATGAAATCGATCATCGACCTGTAACCCTGGGCATGTTCGTACCATGTCCACTTATGGACACCCTTATGCTCGAACATGGTGTTCGTTATGGACAAACCATGCATTTCACAGAAGTCCAATAACAGAACACCACTCGGGTTCAGATCAGGGAAGCCATTCCTCCCAATCACCCCCTTCCAGGTCACACTGTCATTGCCCACGTGAGCGTTGAAGTCCCCCAGCAAAACGATGGAATCCCCTTGTGGCACGCCAACCAGCATACCACTAAGGGAATCCAAGAAGGCCGGGTACTCTGAACCGACATTCGGCGCATAATCGCAGATGACAATCAGAGACCTATCCCCGACCCGAAGGCGCAGGGAGACAGCCCTCTCATTCACCGGGGTAAACTCCATTGTTAATGCACTGAGCTGTGGGAACTCACTCCCTCTTGATAATTGTAGTATTGACTATCCCGCTACATTCAAGTCTCTGCTCAAAACTCATCTTTTTAAACGTATTCACTTTAATTTGTAACTTTATTTATGTAGCTTTTAATTGACTTGATTGTGGTAATGTTAGTGTATTAATAGTGTATAATTAGTAGTGTATGAAGTATGTTTTTATATTGTATGGATTGTTTTTTTTGTAAGGTGTCCTTGAGGGCCTTGAAATGTGCCTTTAAGCAAAATATATTATCATTGTTCTTATTTTTTTTACTCTGTATTCCCATGTTGGGTAGATGGAGGGGAGGGTTGGGTGGTTGGATCTGTGAAATAATTAATAGAAATATTCAATAAACTAAAATATTGTATTGGAGGTCGCATATATTTGTTGTTTATCACATTAAGTTAATGCTGGCCCTTTCCCCCAGCTACCATCACAAGTATAAGTCATATTTTTATAGAATTTTATTGTTCTAAAATATATATAATATATATTTTTAGATGTGAATCTCTTCAGATATTAATAATTAAAAACTAGTCAAACATAGTGCTTTCAGTCTTGTTTTCAGAGGCTGTCCTCATTGATCTGTCAGAAGCCTTAAAAGTAAGCCTTAAATATTGCCTGTTTTGCAGAAATCAATATAATCCCTTCTGTCTTTGTCTCAGATACAATTTTCTCTTTTTAAGCAAATTGAATCAATGTCCACATGTCACTGGTGTGTTAAATAGGATTTGATTACTATTGCTTTTAATTAACTGTTGAGTTGGGTACAATGTTTTACTGTTCACTGGATTTATGTTGTGTTTCTGTTCACCAATTTTACTTCATCCTTGGCAAGGAAGATTATGTGCAGTGTTTGCATCTTTCAAAATGGGACCTGCATGCGTGGGATTTCCCTGCTTCCTCTAAACTTTTCTACAAACTTAATTTTTGCAGTCGTGCTGTCCTCAAATCAGCCATGCTGTTTTACAGCAGCCATTCTGTCCCTGATGTGGCTGTGTTGTCCTGCAGCAGCCAGTGCAGTGGCCGCGCTGTCCCCAAAGCAGGTGTGATGTCCCCGATGTGGTCATGGCACTGGGGCACCAGCAATATGTCATCTTTGAACTTGGTGCACTGCATCGGTTAATGACTCTCCGTTGAGTCTTCTGGCTGATTTTTGGTTTGTAGCAAAGTTAACACCCTCCCCCATTCAGAGTTAAAACAAAAACACAAACAGAAAACTATCTGAGCATAATCACTTAAAATTTAAATTAGTTTTAAAAGTAATTGCTTGAAATGATTAGTTGAATTTGATTGGTGTTCCTCTTATTTTGAATTGAAAATATAATTGCAATGGACAGTAATTGGCCTGCCCAGGACTGTTGGTTATTGTAGTTCAGTATCACCCCATGCATCATTACCCAACTTTGGATGAGGTTCAGCTTCTGAACTACAGCAACCAAACAAAAGCACAGACAGACACACAATGTGCTGCCTGCCTGCCTCTGCCAGACCATAATCCCCATCCTGCAGGATGCAGGATCTAATGTGTTCCTCAGTCCTGCTCACCAACATCACAGCACTGAAAGTCATAAACTGAACTGTTCATTGGTCACGGCTGAAGCTCTGCAGGACTGAGCCCTGAACCCCAAACCATGAGCCCTGAACCCCAAACCATGAGCCCTGAACCCCAAACCATGAGCCCTGAACCCCAAACCATGAGCCCTGAACCCCAAACCGAGTTCGACAGGGCTAAGCCTTGGACCCCAACAAAGACGCTGACTAAACAGTAGCCCCGTCCCTTACACACAACTTAACTCTTCTTCTGGGTCTTCCTGAGCATTTATGACGCAATGAAATATTGCAGTTGTGTATGGATAAGGGCTCTTTTTAAATGATTTTGGTGTCATTTTACCTGGCCGAGGGTCTGGGGTGATTTCTCGGTTCTTCGGTATAGCTGGCCGTTGCCTTGCTTTCGTTGTGTTGTCTTCACTCAGCCTTTCTGGGTAAATTGTCCAGAAGAGGTGCAGCTCCATCAGCAAATTACCCATAAAACACTGTCAGTGCATGTTGCGACATCAGGGTTTTGCCAGCAGAATGTCCCTGACTCCTGTAGAGTGATTAACCTGACCGCCGTTTCCTGCAGCTCATCGATCTTACCCATCTCCCGAATCCCTGCTTTATCAAATGTACTGTCAGTAAATGTGAAGCCTAATTTGTTTTAATGTTTTAATTGTTGTCAATGGGCAGTACCACCCAGACAAGCAGAACCCAGATACAACGGTGGAGCAAGTTCAGCAGTGTGTTCAGAGGTTCATCGAGGTCGACCAAGCGTGGAAGATCCTGGGTGATGAGCAGACAAAGAGAGCCTATGATCTGCAGCGACGTGGTAGGTTCCCCGCTTACAGAAGCAAGTCCATCGCACACACTCACACACTCATTTGTATTCATATCATTGTAGGGACTCTCCATTCATTTATATGGTAAAAACCTAAATCCCAACAATAACAACCTTAACCCCTACCCAGCCCTAACCTTAACCATAACTATCCAAAATACAAGACTAGTGACATTTTTAGTTTTTTTATTGCAGTCACAAATTTTTATAAAATCGAGTTTCCCCTTGTGCTACCAAAAACATGGTCCCCACAATGTCAAAACAGGTTTTTATCACATTGTGGGGACATTTGGTACCCACAATGCAATATATGCACAACCTACACACACACACACACAGTATGCTCGTCACCTGTTAATGTTAATTTTACAGATATGTATTAATGCATATTTTCACTGTGCTGTTTTCAAAATTGGACATCATAAATGTAACCACACAATCTAAAAACTGACAGCAGGTTTCACCAAAGTTATTCCCATTCTTGATTATATGTCCTCGCATGTGAAGGTGACAGTAAGGATACTAATAAGCGTGCTGGTGTCTTCATGGCTTCTCCGAGCTGCACAGGGATCCGTGAAGCTGTGTAGCCTCTTCACCCCCAATATCACCACTGGGCCTAAATCGTGTCTGAAAAGGTCGGATCAGTTGAAGCATAAATAAACCTAGTTACCATAACCATAAATGATTCAGATGCCTGAGATTCCCTGCCCTGCCTCTCCAGCAGCATCGCAAAGAGGCCTTGCCACACAGACGCCGAGCTACCTGTGCAAACCCGCTGCATTTGCAAAGCAATAGTTTAAGATGCAAGAGTTGCATTCGGTGGCACTGACATCAACGAACGGAATATGCGTGGTTGTGCGCGTCAGCTGGGGAACAGCAAAGAACAAACGGAAAAACAGGCTGCAGAGAGACTCCAAGCACAGTGCACTCGCTCCCTTTGCCCTCTTCATAAAACCTCCACAAAGCAGAGCAGGCCAGCTGGGAGGAAGAAAGGGGGGAAATATAGGTCAGTCCCGTCACACATGCACTGCTGTTACACGAAGTGATGGGCTGCCCCTCGCCCCCCCCCCCCACACCCCCCCCAGGCCAAGCACTGTTAGTGAGTGTCCCCCCCCGTTAATGGCACGGAGCCTGCATGTACATTTATTGAAGGTCCTAATGGAGGGCTGAGGGACCTCTTTCCTCAGGCGGGGGGG